ATATATATATTGTCCTAAAATTATAACCCCATTTTAGAATAAATGTTTGTGGGTAAGGCCACTCTGGTTCCCAACGCTTCATTTATCAATTTATTTTAATTTATGATTCGTTATCAGCAAATTGCCACCAAATTCAGTGAATTTGAATAGGTAAATCATTTCCTATCCGTTGCCCACAATCAGTATACGCAAAAGGTTTCCCGTCTGTTGCCGCTGGGTTGCACACTATAAGTTGTCAGGAAACATTTCCGCCTATAAACTCTTATGTTGTCCACAATAATTATAAGCAAAAGGTTTCCCGTCGGTTGCCGGTGGATTGCACACAATATATTGTTAGAAAAGATTTTTGTCTACAGACAGTCAAATGGTGGCACCCACTTGACAGCAAACGGCTACCATATCAAGAGAACGAATAGTAGGCAACTGACCGGCAAACGGAAGGACGCTGGTTATCTGGGTAGTTACTGTCTTTAATTAATTTAGTCTGAAGTGACCATTTTGCTTTGGTGACACGTCAGGGGACTGGTTTTTAAGGACTATAAAAACGATTTTGATACATTAAAGTTTATTTTATTGGATTTTGAACGTCGAGCATAGGTAGATTAGGTTATTATCTTTTGAAGTTATCTACGAAATATTTATGATCTGTTATTTTTCTAAACAATATTAGCTTGAGACAATGAGTTGCCCAGTTTACAGAGAAACGCCCACATAACAAACACAATATATAAAAAAAACTCGTCACCTAAATGTGTAAACTGGTCTATTTTTTCAGTTGTGCCATTTTATTGTCATTTGGTACGAAAAATACAAGAAATGAAAAAATGGAAAAAATATCCTTGGCAGTTTTATACACTTGGGTGACGAAATGTTGTGTTTGACTTGCATTCACACTGTGGCATGTGCAAGTGAAACCAGAGATAAAAAGGTGAGTGAAACGACCGAATAATTCGGTCCGAATTGTGTTTATGGGGTTCGAGGGAGATAAACAATATCGGGCCGAGACCGGTTGGGCAGCGGGAACTTTAAACGTAAATGTTCAAAGCTTTCGAATGTTTTGCTGTTTTAAAACTGAAAATGGATATTTTCCTTAATAGTTGATTTTAACGAAAAATATACTTTGGATAAAAAAATAGACAAGTATTTAAAAAAACTACCTGCTGGGAGCCCTGACCAAGGCCAAAAAATAACTTGGGCGACAAAATAAACTTTTTGGAGTGATGCACATAAAATTTTTTTAGGCAAATCATTTTATTAATGATTTATTGATATAATTGTCAATAAAACGGATTATTGATTATTATTATAAAATGATAACCGGACAATAATGAAAGCGGCATAAAAATTGTTATTTTAAGTAGGTATAGTTTATGTCGACTAAAAGAGATTTTGATACATTTGCCGTACAAAACGAAGAGTTTTTTCATTGAACAATATAAATTTAAAAAAAACAGGATTTAATTGTCCTGTCAAGAAGTGGCAGGTTGCAACCCTAAACATACCAAGCTATAAACATCACTTTTTGCCTACCTAGTTTTTGTTTTTTATTACTAAAAACAGCACTTTCAAACACGATCAAATTTCGGCAGCACCCCGTATTGTAAACACCTGTTACCGGCAAAGACCAACTGCTAATGGCAAAGAACTGGTGTTCCTCATGAGCGAGAAACTTCCTGTGTGATAATGAAATTAATTCCACAATTGTGTAGCATTGTGCAATTTTAAAATCGACGACTCGACGCTTGCGACATCTTTTACCTGATTGGCGATTATAACTATATTTATACTATAGTTAACTTTATATTAATATTAAGGATACACCATTAAGGTTATATACAGAGTGTCCCATAATTAACGTGCAACGTAGCAGATTTTACGTACAAAAATAAGAAACATTTTTGACCAAGTTATCGTATTTCTAAGAAAAAATGTTACTCGTAAAAAGAGAAAAATCGATGTTTCTGTTCATTTTTCAAAAATGTCCTACGGGTGAACAAAACAAATTTAAGCAAAAAGAAAAAATACGGGTCTCATCTATTTCGGCAGACAAAAAAATTTGTTTAAAAATAACGACTTTTGCCTGGTTGATTTGAGATATTATTATAAAATTATTTTAGAGAAAAATATTTCTAGCATTTATAATTATAGTTAAATTTTTTCTGTGAATTAATTTTGAGAGTTGCATTACTTAATTATATTATATTAATTAATTTTTCTATTTTACCCCGGAAATCTACAAAAATATGGTGTCCTGATATTTTATGTTTAGATATTTTCTTCTAAATGGTGTTAATAAGTTTAACAAAAAATGTAACACACTGTGTCTCTGACACCTACGAAAAATAAATCCGCCCCTGCCAGTGGCTAGAAATCGACCAGGGAAAGGTCAAATCATTTTTTGATTAAATTTTATTTTTATATCTAGAGTGCCTTGGCTTTTCTGCTTCATGTTGGGCCAAGTAGTCTGGAAAAAATACAATGTTATTCTTTTTTTGCAATGCTGGTTTTTAGGAGAATTGAAAAACCATACTTTAAGCCAAAACTATTTTTTTAATAAAAGAGGGTGGTTCATTGGTCATAAAAGAAATTCACTTATTAAAAATTTGATACCAAATTTTAATAATATAGCTTTCAAACGCTTTATTAAATTAGAATGTTTATTAGGTTTTAAAGTGTGTACAGAAGTAAATAAATTAAGAATGCTTTGAAACCTTTGTGTTTAAAAGAAGTATCAGATTTGACAGTTTGTTAGTTTGTTTGCTGGTAAGTAAACATTAACATTTTATTTTACTATGAAACATACGCTAAAACTTTTTATAAAATAAAATAAAAATAATAATTGAGGTGGTTAGAATCAAAGGGGTGTAAGTAATTGCTCAATATTTTTTGGTTTTAAAACTACTAAATAAAATCATTCAAATATTTTAAAACTGTAATAAAAAGTTATACCTATCTAACCGCCCCATAGTATGGCCATTGTAAAGAATGTGGAAATAAATAAAAAATTGTGGAATTGTTTGTTCAACATTTCTTCGAAATCGCGTTTCTTGTGCATTTGATTTATTCGTTTTGCGTACCTACCTATACTTAATTTTTAATATTTTAACCAAAATTAACTTACGTATATTTTTTACATCTTTTCAAAGTACTATCGCTAACAAAAAAAACTCATACAGCTTAAAAATCTAGTGTTCCTGATTTTCTATCATTTCGTTGGAGTAATTATGGCTTTTAACATGATACGTCACATTTGAAAGGTCTAAAATTAAATACAAAGTTAGGTTAAAGTTTGAAAAAAAAAATAATATTTCGTCATACCTCTGTTTTTGTCAATTACTGCCCGCAAACGGCAAAGCATGGAAGTCGCCGTCTTGCTTTATCTCGTTCCAAATGGCTTCAATGGCTTGCCAGAGTTCGTCTGCATTGTTTGGTTGAAAATGTTGTTAAAAAAGTCATAATGGATGTGACAAAGCTCGATGTCAGCTTGACATTGACGGAAAAGTTTTATTTACACTGCCACAATATAGCTGTATGAGTTTTTTTTGTTAACGATAGTACAACATGCAAAAATATTAAGAATTTTACTCTAAAATTTTTTATTTAATTTAATTACTTTACATTACTAGGGTCAGTTTCAAGACCCTAGATAAAATACCAAATTTTTGCGATGAACCACGAATTTACTAGAAAATGTACCTACAATTAAAAAAAATTGTAACGATCGAAACATTTTTGGCCAAGTTATCGCATTTTCAAGAAAAAATGTCACTCGTAAGAGAAAAATCGATGTTCCTGCCCGTTTTTCAAAAAATTCCTACGGGTAAACAAAACAAATTAAAGCAAAAAGAAAAAATACGGGTCTCATTGATTTCGGTAGAGAAACTGTAAAAAAATTGTTGAAAAATAATGACCTACCCCTTTTTGCCTGGTCGATTTCACATCCATAGGCAAAAAAATTAAGTTTTTTGTGATATTTCCAGTGACCTTTTTATAGTGGGTTTAAAAGAACTTTTTTCTGAAGTACTGAAATAAAGGTACAGGGTGTTGTTTCCTAAAATCTCTAGGAGAATGTGCCTAAACAAGCTACACCAGTCTTAATACTGCCGTGCTGAGCACAGAGGCGGTAACTGCAATATTAAGTAATAAAGGACCAGTGGCGGCTGGTGGATTTTAAGTATACCAATATCTCAGTTATTAGACATGGGACCCACACCAAATTTATAATAGTTTATATTGACATTAAATAAACAAGTTCGGCGCAAACAGAATTTAAATTGAAGTTTGCGAAAAAAAGTTAGTTTTTCCTGTCGCCTACCCTGCCTCCAGGCCCCCCTATTTGAGATAATTCAAATTAAAGTGGTGCAATTTATTATCTACTATAATTTATCGACAAATTTAAAATTTTATTTAAAAAATCCAAATATTACAGTTTTTATACCATTTTAAATATATTTTTATTTTAATAAAATAAATAATAAAAATTTAAAATCGAATAAAATCTGTAATATTTGGATTTTTTGAATAAAATTTTAAATTTGTCGATAAATTATAGTAGATAATAAATTGCACCACTTTAATTTGAATTATCTTAAATAGGGGGCCTGGAGGCAGGGTAGGCGACAGGAAAAACTAACTTTTTTTCGCAAACTTCAATTTAAATTCTGTTTGCGCCGAACTTGTTTATTTAATGTCAATATAAACTATTATAAATTTGGTGTAGGTCCCATGCCTAATAACTGAGATATTGGTATACTTAAAATCCACCAGCCGCCACTTTAAAAGGACAAACAATTATTTGTATTGTTAAAAACAATATAAAATTACTTTTATCCTGTATTACTTAATATTACAGTTGCAGCCTCTGTGCTTAGCACGGCAGTATAACCTGCAATACCTGTATAAAGTTTTTTAGATAGGCTTGAAAAATTTAATTATGTAATTTTATCAGTGTAAGAAATAAATATTATAAAAGTAACAATAGTTTTATTCTTAAGTCATTGGATGGCAGTAAAATAATCTTTAAGAACAGATTAATAAATAACACTTAATTAAAACTTATCACAATCTAGTTATCACAATTCTGCAAGTTTGTATGACGCTAAGTGTTGAATAACTCGGCTGTTTCCATCAAACACCGACACCCGCACCCAGTGGGGCACGTATCCCGAGTTTGAAACCATTCTTGCAGGTGATTAGTATGACCTCCGTGCCCACAGATGATGCAGCAATTCGCGGACCCCCTCACGGAAATCCTGCACACGGAGCATTGCAAGGAAAGCCTCTTGCAATTGTTGCAACAACACTGATTTATCGGAGCCTGACAGCCGTGGCACTCCGTCACGAACTGAACGCCTTTGTGGGGGTCCGCGGGGGCGCACATGTACTTGATCACCTCGGCCCTGTTGTATATCAAGCGCCACCTGTGGAGCGTTTCCGCGTAAGCCAGCTTGTAGTATTCGTACAGCGAGCTCGAGGGGTTTTTAGGGGGCGGCGCGAAGGCCGGCTCTTCGAGTCGCAGGTTGTCAAGTGATGTCGATCGGGTGGTTTTTAAGGTCGGTATCACCCAACCCTCGGCGATCACGTCGGCCGGCGGTATGGTGTGGTAAGGGGATCCCCCGTTCTAAAAAATCAGGGCTTTTATGATCTAAATCGTATGATTTAAATCGATTGATTTTTTTATTTAAATCACGATTTAAATAAAAAAAATTGGCCCATTTACCAGTTATAGCTGACAGACTTTATGAATATTAAGACGCTGATATAAATAATGGTACTTTATTGAATGATTCCCCTAACGATTCAAATAGAAGTTTTGGGGAAACGAAAAAAAAATAGATTTGAAATTTTAAAATCGTTTATAATTCTTTCGAAGTCTATTTTAAATTTTTTTAAATCTTAAAACATTTGTTTAAAGATTTCATGTCAATTCTTTAACATATTTCAACAAATTACTTGAGAAAAACCATGGCAAATTAGGCTAACTTGAAACTACTTCGCAACTTTTTTGTTTTTAATGCGTTTCTATAATATAGTAAAATATTATGCAATTTTTTTTTTTAATATTGGGATTATGACAAAAATTTAAGGTACCTATTATGATAATTTAAAAAGAAGACCTTTTTAGTTTTAATTTTTTTTACTATTTTTAATTTATTCGGTTTCATTTTGTCTATAGGTACTTAATTTTTATTCAAAATTACATTAAAAATTACAAAACAGAAATAATTTATGAAAATATTTTTTTAAACATACAGTGTTGGCCATAATTTTTGCAACCACTATAAAAAAATCTAACTCTAAAACGCCTTTATTATTCTTTATGAAATTTTGGATAAAAATACTTCAACTTATATCTCAGTTTACGTGTTAGAGGGTTTTTCGAGAAAATATTTTTAAAACCCTTTTATTTAATAATGAAAGAACCACAGAATTAATTCCTTCCATTTAACTCTGCGTTAGGTAACACGGAATTAATTCCTTCCTATTTAATTTCGTGTTAACTAACACAGAATTAATTCCCTTCCATTTAAGTCTGCGTTAGGTAACACAGAATAAATTCCTTTCAATTTAATTCTGCGTTAGGAAACACAGAATTAATTCCCTCCCATTTAATTCCGTGTTAACTAACACAGAATTAACCCATCCTATTTAATTCCGTGTTAACTAACAGAATTAATTCCCTCCTATTTAATTCCGTGTTAACTAACACAGAATTAATTCCTTCCTATTTAATTCCGTGTTAGCTAACACTGAATTAATTCCCTCCCATTTAATTCCGTGTTAAGTAACACAAAATTAATTGAATTAATTCTGTGTTAACACGGAATTAAATAGGAAGGGATTAATTTTGTGTTAGCTAACACGGAATTAAATAGGAAGGAATTAATTCTGTGTTATCTAATGCAGAATTAAATGGGGGGAATTAATTCTGTGTTACCTAACTCCGAATTAAATAATAAAAATAAATTTTGTGTAAATCCTCTAAAGTCCCTTCTACGCCTTCGTAATTTAATAATTTCAGAGATACTTAAAAATTTCTAGTATTATACGTATTAAGAAAAGCAACGTCTTACGTAGAAGAATTAAAAAATGCTTGAATATAAATGAGGGACACTTTTAGTAATAAATTGGTAATATAAATTGTTAATTAAAGTATCGTTGGTTTATTAAAATATGTCATAAAATAAATTCTATATTTTATTGTCTCCAATGAGCTAGTGCTTTATCTAGTTGACATCCTACAGCCCTTGTTGATTTTTTTTCTTCAAAATTAGCAAATACTATTTGTAGTACTTTTAAATTTTTAAAAATGTTTGGCTTTTTTTATTTTTTATAAGTTACTGACTGCTATTTTTTATCAGTTATTTTGTTTACAAAACACTTAATTAGTCAACAAATTGTTTATAACAACCTGAAAAAATTGACGCCATTAAATTTTAAACAATGACAGATTACCTGATAACCATAGATACCGTCACAGGTTTCTTGATAAAAAATAATATTTAAAATTTTAGAAATTGTAAAATATCTCTTAAATTATTAACTTTAGGTATAGGGAATAGTTACATCAATCAAAAGGTTTTTTTAGTTTACTATTTGATTATGTAAAAACATATGGGTCTTACATTTAAAATAAAAAAGTTAATTAACCTTTTAAGCCTAATTTGCTTTTGGGTTCTCAGGTAATTTGTTAAAAAAAGAATTGACATGAAATCTTTTAAACAATTTTTTAAGATTCCAAAAATCCCACCCCCATATCCGCAAATCTAATAACAAAAAAGTTATAGGCTATTTTTGATTAACACGCATTTGCCAAAAAATTATATTAGAAAAATAGACTTAAATGGATTATAAAATTTCAAATCGATATATTTTTTCGTTCCCAAGAAACTTATGGACCACGAATGTAAAACATCCTGTATATGGGACCCCTTTTGATTTGGCTGCATTTTTTTTTATCTTTTTCTACCCCACTAAAAAAGTTTCTCAATTTTTTTTAATTTTTTTTACCCAAACAAATAAAATTACGAATTTTTCATATACTTTTTTAAAAACTGACTAAATTTTTGGAAAAAAATTCTGCGAATAATGCTGCTAAATCCATTTAGTTTTTTTAATTGAAAATTAATTTTTTTAATTCTTTCCCAATCGTTAGTGAATAAACTGCGTTTTTATCATAAAATCAATTTTAAGTAAATAAAATAAATCCTTAAAATAATAATAATAAATTGGTATACAAAAATTAAATTATTATCCCTAAAATTATAATCATTAGGTTTGATTATAAATTGAGTGTAAAATATCATAGAACAATGGTTAAGTAAATGTATTTTTTTTTATAAAAAAAACTTTCATTTATTCTGCGATAATCCCGCTTTTTACAAATTGGGCAGACTTTTTTTCTATTTTTTTTTCATTGAAAACCTTTTTGTTTCTATAATAAAATCAATTTAAGTATTTCTCAAAAATTTATGGTTTTTCTAAAAAACTAAAAAATTGTATAGAACTTGACATGAATTTTTTTCTGAAAAATGCATTCAAAACCAAAAATTAAAAAAAATGTCCCATTAAGTCAATTTTTAAAAAAGTTATGAGTATAAAAAAACATTTTTTTCAAATTTTTAACTCTTTTTGGTTGGATAAAAAAATTTGAAAAACTTATGAAAAACATTTTTAGTGGGGTAGAAAAATATAAATAAAATTAGCCAAATTAAAATATATGTATATTATAAAGTTTATATTACTTTAAACTACTTGAATTTAATTTTCAAAAAATTATACTATATTAATAAAAATTCACTAAAAATCAACCAATCTTGAGACTTTTCCAGGCTTTTTATTGATTTAATAAAAATAAATCAAATTAGATTAAAAAAAAAATTCAAAAAAATCACCAACCCGGAAAAAAATATAAATAGTTTTATGAAGTTGAATGCAGCTGGGTCAAAGTCATGCAGTAAAAACCAATACACAAATATAATTATTTTTTAGATTTTTCATGCGGTATACACAGAAGCACATGCAACCTATAGAACTATATATGTACACAGAAAATTTGGATTTAGTTACCTTAAACCATCTTTTCCCAGATGCAAATTGCTAAAAATAGATGAAAGTTTTGTTAAACATGTCGCTACAGATTAATTTTTGCTTGTACCCCATATAAGGTCAAATGCATTTTTCTATGGTCTAATGATTCCAGTATGTGCTACAATTTTGAATACTAGACTACAACTACAACTAGTACTTACAGTTGGTGATTTCAATGATTTCATCGATGTTTTTTTGGAACATGACGTGTCATTTTCTTTGCCGAAAATGCAACTCAGCATTGCTGCCATTTGGACGTCTGATTGAGAAGCATAATGGGATATCCTAAAAGAACAAAGTATTAATAGTAACGGTAAAATTGTAGTTTTACAATACGCTAAAGAAGCATCGTTTCTTTTGCAGGTAAGTGATTATTAACATCTTATTTTACTATGAAAACATACGCTAAAACTATTTATAAAATAAAATAAAAATAATAATTTAGGTGGTTAGAATCAAAAGGGTGTAACTGTAATTGCAACATTTTTGGTTTTAAAACTACTAAAAAAATCATTCAAATATTTTGAAACGATTATAAAGAGTTATTTCTAACCACCCCATAGTGTGGCCATTGTATCACTGGCAATAAATAAAAAAACGAAATATGAACTCGAACGAAAATTTGTTATTTCTAAACATAATTAATCTGCGTTTTAGTTTCTGGGCCTTTTAGGCTTAATACTTATTTCCCTTCCTGATCGAACCTCATTCAAAAAGAGTTTCGCGACTGCCTCACTCATATCTCGACCAAAATTTTTCGGAATTGTTTGTGTTCTACATTTCTTCGAAATCGCGTTTGTTCATTTGATTCTTACTTTTAGGTATGTAATACTAACTTTTCATTATTTTAACCAAAATTAACTTATGTATACTTTTTACATCTTTAAAAAGTAACACATGCAAAAGTATTAAAAATTTACATTTTACCCTGAAATCTTTAATAATTTAATTTACTTACTTAAGAACATTTCCGGTGAAACCAGAAGTGACAAAAATATATTAAATGTCAAAAAGTTCCAAATTACACTTTAAAAGGTCACCCCAGTTTCATGACCCAGATAAAATACCAAATTTTTGCGATGAACCCCGAATTTACTGGAAAATGGCATTTTTATTAAAAAAATAATTCCGAAACGACGAATTTAGTCAACTCAGGATTTTTGGTGAAAGTTGTTCATATTATCAACTTCTTGACGAAAAAATATGAAGTAAAAAAAAACAATTAAAAAAACGAGTAAATTCAATAAATTTTTTATATTTTTTTGTATGTAGTAAACATTTACCTACAATTTAAAAAATTGTAACGATCAAATTTACCTCAATTAAATGATCATTCTATAGTCTAAACATTGCTACAATACAATTTAATCAATTATACAGGGTGGTCCCAGAGATTCTATTTTTTCAATTTTACCATGCTCTAAAGTTTGACAAAATTATTAACTTAAGGGTATTTCCATTGTAACGGGTGCGACACTAAAACTGCGTTTTTCATGAAAATAAAGTGTTTGTTCATATATATCAAGATACGTTAATATAAAAAAATAGTATAAAAAATTAAATATTTAACTCAAACAAAATGTCAATAAAAACTTGTATAGAATACATTTTTTAACGTCATGAATTGCGTAACGGGCGCGACCTTAGAAAATCGGCAAATGCGACCAAATTGGCTTCTAAAGTTGATACTGTAAAATTTTGGATGGATGCATATAGTAATAATTTTTTGTGTAAAACTTGAATAGTAACCTTAAAGAAGCACGTATTTTAAATGCACAAATATTGTATACTTTATTTTCTAAAATGTTCTCAAAATGTAACGGGTGCGACATTTGAACATTTTATCGAGTATTGAAACTCTTCCGTGTTTATTATTCATTTTAGCTTCTTGGCATCACAATGTACGAATATTTTAAGGGTATAAATTACGTCGCAATTAAACTATTTGACTTCAGATATAGTTGTTATTTTGTTAAATAACACATCTGATTTTTTGTCAATGTGGGGTTAGGTTTCGTGGAAATACCCTTTAATAACATTACCAAAAAAACCGAATTTCAAAACAATTTTTTTACTGTGACTTATGTATGCGTCATTCCTACTACACAATAATGTGATTATTTTCAAAATCGGTGATTTTGTAAAATTTTCTGGTTCCACTTGACGTGACTTGACTCAAAAAGAGAAAAATCGATGTTTCTGGCCATTTTTCAAAAATTTCCTACGGGTAAACAAAACAAATTTAAGCAAAAAGAATTTGCCTGGTCGATTTGAGATGGAAAGACCCTACTATATTACAACAAAAAATATTTTTGTCTAGGTTCTTATTCGCGTTTACTTTAGCCTGATAAAAAAAACAACATTTTTTACGTTACTCTACTTACAACGACTGCATCAGCTTGCTGCCGAACGGGTGCGCGGCCCACGTCATCTCCTCCTCGGCCTGCTGCGGCCCGGCAACCAGCTCAGCCAGCGTCCACGCCTGCACCAGATCGCAGCGGCCCACGCTGGCCGCGGCGGCCGCGTTGTGCTTGCACACGGTGCCCACGTCGCCGTCCAGGATGTACTCCTCGGCCAGCTGCCGGTCGACGAAGAACAGGCGCAGCGCGTCGTACACGAGCACCAGCGCTTTCGGCTTGGCGGCCGCCTGTTTCGCCGGCCGGCGTTGCTTCTGGAAGTAGTAGGCCGAGACGGTCATGTAGTTGCTGTTGTTGCGTTTGGCGATGATGTTCTCGAGAGCGGAGAGGGCCCTGCATTTAAATAAATTGATAGTTTAACGCTTAAATGCATATGATTTTATTTTTGTACAAAATATACATCAAATAACGAAAATAGTATATTATGTATCAAGTTTTATAAACGCCATTTTAGTTACGAGTTTAATTAAGCACGAGCGAGCGAGTGTTTAATAAAAACGAGTGTCTAGAGAAGTTTATAAACGAGTTGCATACTATACTTTATCTACGACGAACGCAAAACAGAATTTAAAGCCAATTTTATTTGTTAAAATTTTGACATCTGTCAACTGTCACCCGAATTTAACTTCACTTTTTCCCAATTTATAATAAAGCTAACTTCAGCCCGTGACGTAAAATGTCGAAAAGCCACTGTTGTTAACTTCAGCCCGTCAATAAAACGCCATAAAGTTACAGCTCGTCAGTGTAGATAAAATAATTTAAAAAATCAATACCGAAAAAAAAATGTATTTTGAAAAAAAAACAAAAATGTAGCAAATTAATCATCCATCAGACCTTGTTTGCTAGTATGCTACAAAAACATATAGGACCTTGGTGAATATTGTTGCAGATATGCTACAATCAGTATATAAAAAAAATACAATCACCAACTGGTTTTTCATCAATTTTATTATTTACTTAAAAGTACTAAGCTCCACACCTCAAAGTCCCACCACGTGACTACGTACGGAACGCAGTCTTTTGCAAATTTTGCATTTAAAGCTTTTCAGGTTATGTATCTGCCAAAGTATTGTCAATGAAAGAAATATTATTTATACTGTTACCGCTTATGTTTAAGCGTTAAAAGTTGATAAATCTTCATAGTATCACAATAACAATGGTTGGGTTTAAGAATTTAGGAATATAAATACTGCATTTAATGAAATTCCAAAGTGTAAGCTGCCAAATATGTAATATTTTTGTGCATAAAATAGTTTTAACTAACGGCATTTAATAAAAAAATCTAACTTCTCTATTTTGGAAAAAAAATATCTAAATCAAAGGTAGGTTCACAATCCAAACAACAAGGTCTGTTAGATCTCGTAGTTGTTTTAATAATCGTTTTAAACGTTGTTTTTCTTACAGAGAGACTTGCAAGCCTTAAAAGGGACCTTAAAGTGGTAGGAACAATCATTTTACTACTCTTTTGTAAAAAATAAACCCTATTCTATCAGGGCTGTCAAATGTCAATTTGAAGGTTAATTTAAGGTTATTTTATAACCCACAACTTAAACAATTATTGATAGTTTAAAATATTAAAATAACTTCATAATAAGTTAAGAGTTATAGTAATAAAAAAGGATAAAATATTTTACCCTTTTTTATTACTTTAATTGCAAAATATTATCACAAAGTATTAAAAATTCTTACACGGGAAATGTTTAAGGTACAAAAAGTGACAGTTGCATTTATTAAAATTCCCGTTAGAATTTTTAAATTGGGAATCTACCGGCGTTAAAATCTCAAATTGTGTAAATCAAAATTTATCCCTTGAAAATAGACTAAAAATCGATATAGAAGCAGTTTTTCACAGTAAAAGAGAAGATAATGTTTTATGGGCACTGTACACAACATTTTTAAGGCTTTATCAGTTAAATCCAGTTAACTGTACTACTACGGCAAAATCTTTTCAAATATTGGCGTCAAGGAACTATTTATTACTTTTGTATTGAAATAAAATAATTTTCACATTTAGTATTATTTTACAAGAATGGCTCTTTATTTAAAGGATTGTATGACATTTAACAACTAAAAACCTGTTGCTAACTTCAGCACGCGACTAAAGCGCCATAAAGCCACAACTTGTCAATGTGTATTTAAAAGGTCATTTAGTGTCATGAAAACATGTACGATATTGGACGCACCAAAGTGTAAAATAATGTAATTTTATTAAAATATGTGCTATTTAAAAACCTGTCGCTTCTTACTGTTCAATTACTGAACTTCAATAATTATGCCAAAAAGCGTGGGGAAAATTACTTAAAAGTAGAGATGCTCATAATTGCTCGCACAGTGCAACATGTTGATTATGTTATAAGGGGCCGTCCATAAATCTCGTGGCGATAAAACTACTCCCTAAAAATATTTTTTCGATTTTTTTGTGTAATAATAAGCACTTTTATTTCATCACGTGACGTTTTAATAAACGATCCCCCCTCAGGCGTGACAAATTGTGACGTTTTTTAAATCCCCCTCCCCCTTCTAGCGTCACGAGATTTATGGACGACCCCTAATCCAGTTTTTTAGTTATGCCGGGAAATGTAAATATCGAGCAGTTTTTAAAATCGCACAAGGGCTTTTTTTAGCTTTTTTTTAAATAACCAGTTTATGTTATAATCCCTCCCTTTATTACTAAAAAAAATGCAACTAAAAATTTTAAAATTTTTTCGCCTGCTGAATTTTTCAGGAATCAGTTGGGTGTAAAAAAATTGTACTGAATAGACAAAAACACTTAAAAGAAAGCAAGTTTGGCAAACTTGGTACAAAATAAGTTAGTTAAGAGATAAGTATTCAATAAAATTCTAAAAATAAAAGAAAGTATGTAATCCAAACAACCACAAACTCATTAAATGAAAAAATAATGTAAGAAAATTAATTATTTTTAGTCAAACATACAAACTAGACACTTTTCAAAGATATTACTTTACTTATTGGCAAACTGTTACTTGTTAAATAATTATAATTTTTATTATTTTTAATGGTTTGCTAAATATACACTGTAGTGTATTTGGCAAGTAAGCATTTTTGCCTAAAATATATTAATGATAAATAATAGAAAAACTTAACTGTAACCGTATATACAAATGATTTTTTTAGAAAAAAGTACAAAAAGTAATATGGTCAAAAAGAGCACTAAATTTAAAAAAAAATATCATTTTTATGTTAATTTTAGTTTAAAATTGTAAGAATTTACAATTTTATCTAATTAGTATGTAGTTTTTGAGTTATTGAGCATTTAAATTTATAACAGTTGTCAACAATGTATTATTCAAAAGCTTATACTTAACACATTCCAAACTGTTTTTTTTATGGAAACAATTCAAATAAGGCAGCTGAGGTTGACAGATCTATTTTAATGTTACCAAATTTGATTTGATTAATCAGGAGCTTTCCCATAGATTTAGGTTTTATTAACGTTTGGGGGAGTTTCAGGGGGACGGAGTTCTTAAGAGGGATTTTTTAGGATAATACAAAAGTTCTTAAGGGAATTTTTAGGGGGATTCATCTCCTCAGTTTTTTTGGTCAAAATCCGATTTATAAAAAAACATTAAATTGAATTAATGCATAGAATGAATGATATAAACCCTATTTTTATTTGGGCATTCAGGACTAGGATTTAAAAGTGTTGTTGGCTTTTTTTGGGGAAAACTAATTTTTTTCAGAAATATACATATTTTAATAAAAGTAGCAATCAACAACTTAACATTATTTTAATTTAAAAAATATACTTTATTACAGAAAAAAAACAAATAAAACTAAACAATGAATTAAATTTAATTGAATTAAGAAAATAAAAGTTAAATATACTGTCTGTTAGGTCCTGCAAAATGGAGTCGATTGAAAATATCCATTCACAAAATAATGATTGATTTATAAAGTTAAATTACAGAATTTTTATTTTATGAATCGATTTGTCAAAAAAAAACGATAATTATGTCAATACAGCACCGAGCATTTTTTGCGGCCTGGTTGAATATTCTTACCAAATTAAAAATAATATTATGATATTAGAGAGTCGATATCAGTCTTGATATCAGTGTACAGATATTGTCCGTAAAAATTTAAAATTAAAAAAAATTGGACTTTAGTATTACCCTTTCAATAAAATAAAAAATCAATTTTTCTGAAAATTTCCCAAAACGGTTTTTTTTCCGCCGGCTCAATTTTTCCGGAAATGTCTTTTTTCAAAAGACCATTATTATTGTTTTTATCACCCTAAATAAAAAAACAATGCTAGAGAAAATTTTGCTTGAAATTTAACAACGTAAAAAACTGAAATTTTGAAGTTCATTAATTGGGGGGAAGCACTTATAGGTGGAAATCGACCACAATGTGGATCATTTGGGGGGGAGCGCTCTAACAATCTGGCAACATTGATCTATTCTCCGACAGTTTGTGTCAATAAACTTTAAATCGTCAATAAAAACAAATTTTAAAAAATCTTCCTAAAAAACAAATCAGATTTTTTAAATTTTCCGTTTGGACACCCTGTATAACATAAAATTTGCCACCAAAATGATTTAACGCTGAAGCGAATTATTATTATATTAAAATTGTGTGTAAAATGTTGAGAAAAAATACTAATTTAATTTAAGTAATACAGGACAAATGTCTTTTGTCAAAAGACCATTTCTTTTTTGTTAAAAGACCATTATTATTGTTTTTATCACCCCAAATGACAACATTGATCTATTTTCCGACAGTTTGTGTCAAAATCATAAATAAAAACAAATTTTAAAAAATCTTGTGAGAAAAACAAATAAATTTTTTTTAAATTTATCGTTTTGGCACCCTGTATAACATTTGCCACCAAAATTTGTTAACGCTGAAGCACGCTATATAAATAAAATAAACCGTTATTATTATTAGTATTATTATTATATTAAAATGGTACCTAAATATATAAAATGTTAAGAAAAAATATTAATTTAATGTTGATTCTTACCTGGGAGTAGTGGAATCAATTTTGTTGGATAGTCTCCTGTGCACGGGCCTGCCGAAACATACAAGCATACCAACCGAGCAAAATTTCGCTCCCGAAGTCTTCGGGAACGGGATGTAGGCGTCGTTCAGACCGCTGAAGACGCCCGGTTGCTCGATGTACAGAGTGTTGACCACCTTGTCGTTCTCCTGGTCCCTCGACAGCTGCTCCAGCGTGGTCACCATCTGCCTGAGACACGGTTCGAGGCAGGTGCGATTCTTCGAGACCCTCTGCTGAGCCAGGTGGTTCAGAGTCTGGAGCAGGGAGGACGTGATCTTGTCGTTGATGTTGCTCGACGTTTGCTGGAAGACGGGCGGAACTCCGTGCGGGTACGCGAGCGGAAACAAAACTTGCAAATTGACCACGAAATTGTTTATGGTGGCCTTCACGGTGCAACTCCTGTCGGTGGGATCCAGATTTATCACCTCCAAGTTCGGTATGTGCACGTTCATCAGGGAAAACTCCTGCAGCAGCGGCTGAACTTTGGTCAAGCTGTTCGACTTTTTGACCGATTCGATTATTTCCGAGTAGACGGGGTCGTTCGGGTCTTTGGATTCTTCCGGCTCGTGGCCGCACAGTTTTTGCAGGAACGGTTCGATCTTCCACACCAACAGGGTTTGGTCTTTCGACCACGTGATCAGTTGATAATTTGTGTCGCCCGGTTTCTGACTGCGCCATTCGAATTCCAACACTACGTCGCGATGACCTAAACAAAAATTTTGAATGGGTCAAAAAATTTCTTTAATTCATTTTACGACAAAAAGTCATTCTTTATAAAAGGTTCTGCTTGTTAAGAAAATTAATTTACAATAAATTAAGTGTCCAAAACCCACAAATTAACGTTAAAATTGACATTTGACAGTTTGATGACAGTCCTGATAGAATAGGGTTTATTTTTTAATAGAGGAATATGGTTGCCCTTAGCACTTTAAGGCCTCTTTTAAGGCTTACAAGTGCCTCTGTAAGAGATACAACGTTTAAAACGATTTTTAATCTGTATAAACAGCACAAACCCAAAGCACAAGAATTGTAAACAGCATAATATTATATATAATACATAATATAATGGTATTTTACCGTTACCTTCTAAAATGTGTATTTATTGTATCTAATAGGTACAATTTATATTTACAGAGACTGTGTGAAATTTATTTCTTCATTCAGATTAACACTTTATTGGAAAACCTGTAAGAAATCAACCCAGGATTTCATCTCAGAATACACCCAAAAACACAACAAATCGATCCACGGTTCAAAAACACTCGTTTGCAACCTAAGCGTTTGACAGCTGATTATTAAAAGTTCTACTTTTGTTACGATGATAACAGCCGAGTGGTGGCGCTACTAGCGATACTTCTTTAGCGTATATTTATAAATTTTCGAATATAACGTGAATATGCAGTGCAAATAACATTCCAAGTTGGAGCGAACCAAAAGCTGGCGGGTACTGGGTTGGAATTTCCAACTCAGTACCCGCCAGCTTTTGGTTCGCACATGACGTCACAGGTGCGAGAGAGATAGCTATAACATGCGCATACCGGTTTTTGTGTATCGTGACACCGATCAATAAAAACAAGTCTTCACTTACCGATAAAAGTATGCATGGGAGTTGACCTATTAGCGGTGTTCCACAGCAACAAGCTGTTCTCCCCCCTCCTCAACTGCGGCACCACCACGGTAATCATGCCGTTACCGAACGGCGTGTACCTCGCCCGCCAGACGGGCGACGTCGTCGTCAAGACGTGCTCGGGCCTTCTCGGGCTCTCGACGTCGAAAAACTTGACGGTGTTGTCTTGACTCGAGGTGGCCAGGTGGTTCTGCGAGCAGGGGCTCCAATCCAAGCCGTGGATTTTCGACAAGTGGGCCGCTATGTATTTCGTCGGCGCAGTGCCTTTGCGTTGGTCCCAGATTTTTATGTCCCCGTCGTGCGCTGTCGCCAGTATGTTCGGGGATATTCTGTTCCAGCTTACCTAAATTAATCTAATTAAGATGTGTGCGCACTAGCATTGACTAGTAGTTTTTGAGTTGGTTATCTAAGTTTAAAAACTTGTAAACCCTGTTTGCTTGGTAGGCTAAATAATACACATAAAAAAGGTTGTTATGAAACCATTTTATCAAGTCAGCTGAGGTTAACATGGTTGACAGATTCTGTAATTTTTTTATATTATCAGGGTGTATGGAAAACACGCCGTTTTAACATTTATTAAATAATTTTTTAATTTAAAATTTTCCTAACTAAAAATAATTGTAACTATCATGTATTAAAAGACGAAATTTACTAACAGTTCACTTGTGTATAAAACAATATTATTTCAAATCAATTTATGCAAACATTTCCAACTATGATTTTTTAACAAAAATAATTTCTTAAGTAGGTATAATTTATTTGGGCAGAATTTTGTAAATCCTAAATAATTTTTTTTTAGATTAAATTGGTGAAGTTAAATAGTGTCAAGACGTTTAAAATAAAACACATGTAAAACATTTTCTACCAACATTTTTTTTAATCTCAAAACAATTGATAATCACAAATATTTTAAATATAAATGCAAAAGTAAAAGTTTAAAATATTGGTTTTTAAATTGTAGTTTTAATATTTTATTCTACAAAATTATTGTTTTAAATTTCTAAAGAATCACTTAAACGATAAATGTGGTAAAAGTGGTAATTTTCGGATTAAAAATGTATCGACTCTCATTTAAATAACTCTTGAGAAATTTAAACCAAAACTTTTATTTTTAACAAATTTAAATTGAAACTTTTTTAACACAAAAATATTTACATTACATTTAAATGTAAGTCGATAATTTTTAATTCACAAAGTGTAACCGCTGCTTTAGCTGACTGCATATGCTGGACCAAAGATAATCTTTGTGCTGGACTGCCTAAAATTTACCACTCTAGAAAGAGACAGCGTACGCCGTCTTCTAAAGCTACGTTTACACTTTGTAAATTAAAAATTATTGACTTACATTTAAATGTAAAGTTATAAATTTTGTGTTAAAAATGTATCAATTTAATATTGTTAAAAATAAAAAGTTTTGGTTTAAATTTGTAAAGAGTCATTTAAATGATGGTCGATAAATTTTTAGCCCAAAAATTACATTAAAATATAATGTGAGAATTTTTGTACTAAAAATTTATTGACTATCATTTAAATGGCAAATTTAAATAAAAAATTTTGTAGAATAAAATATTTGAACAAAATTTTTTAAAAATCAATATTTTTAAGCTTAAAGTTTTACAGTTGTATTTAAGATTTAAAAAATGTTTTGACTATCAATTGTTTTGAGTTTAAAAAAATTTAACTTGGTAAATTTATGTTAAAAAAGTGCTAAACTATTATCTAATAAATGCTAAAACGGCGTGCCATACTTAGGTAATTTTAGGATAGTCATTAAAAGTCATTAAAACAACTTTTGCTTCACCAAAATTTAAAAAAAAACGATTAAAATAACATTTTGAATGCTATTTGATAAGTATGCTGTCAGTAGAATTAAGGTTATTTATATTATGAACCATGCATTATATAAATAACCTCAATTTTACTGTCAGCAACAGATACCTATAGGCTATATATAGCCTCAATTCTGATGACAGTGACAGATACCTTACCTCAACACTATTTTTTTATATCCTATGATATAAAAATAATATAAAAAATAATAACAAGCTTATTTGCATTGGTATCATTTTTACATAAGTTTTTAGGAAAACCAATAGAAAATCAAATAGTAACAGAAGTGTCCTTACAAAAAATAATAATAATAATAAAACCAAATAGGTAATTTTTTTTGTTAAATTTTGTTGTGATCAAAAATAATGTATGGAAAGTAAAGAAAGTAAGTAAATGTACAAAACTAAAAATGTTGCGTTTATTTTTATATAGATTTTTTAAGCCTTAAAATTTGTGCCAAGAATGTAAAATATATTTATGGCTTTACTGTTTATTTTGTTATTAAATAAATTACATTTTATAACTACAAAATTAATGAAAAAACTTGGAAAATAGGAAATCCATCTATAAATCTATAGTATAAATGTATGGATTCTATACATATACATATGTATTTATAAATAAAATTAAAGTGTTAGTCCGGGCTAATCTCCGATACGTCTGAATCGATTTTAACGAGACTTTCATTGACAAGTAGAGGTCGTTTCAGAGTTTATGTAATTAATGTAATGTATTAAAATGGGTAGTTTCTTATTGTCCATAAAGAAGCCTTTATCCTACCAAAAAGTACGCCACTGATTGACTAGGAACTTTAGGCTAACCTGGTTGCCTAATTTAATTTATTATGTTATGGTTGGCAACAACCAGCGTTTCCAGATTCTGTCAAAAAAGTTGCCAAATTTAGTTTAAATTTAGCTTAATTACAAAAATGACAAAATCAACAATGCAAATTGGTAATTTGGCGTTTTTATTAATTGTTTATCATTTTTGTATATTATATGAAGGTAAATTTAAACAAAATCTGTCAACTTTTATGACAGAATCTAGTGCATTTCTTTCAAATTTTAGGTTGTGTGCTCAAATTGTAAATATCTTAACTAAGGGAAGTACTTTTGGATTTATTTACACAAATTTAATGTTTAAAGTTTAACCTTTAAACTTGTCCTAATTTTATCTGAGTTAACAGAAAGAAAAAAAACGATGAAAAAATTAATTTTGTGGTTATGGAGTTTTTAAAATAGGTACTAAATTTTCTAATCATTGCTTTAAGCAATTTGCTTAAGCTAAAATCTGGATGAGTTAATAAATACAGAAGTGTATTAGAGCTTATATTTATTATTATTATTATATTATAGGCATATAAATTTTGTATTTATTGAGTTTTTATTTATTTTTTGCAAGGAAAATTTTTTGTATCAATTTTTTACAATTGGCAACGCGCAGCTACTTTGTTGGTTGGCATCTATCACAGATGTGGTATCTATGTACTCACAGAACACAAGTGTGTAACCAGTGGCATATTACAAAAAATATATAAAATATCTAATGCATATTTTTTTATCTTTAGGAAAATATTTTTTTAAATATTTATTTAGTTTTTGATAGAAGGAGATTTATATAAAACATATTTTGTTTTGTTACATAATCCTAATCTCTTGCGACGTTGTTGAATTTCCAAAAATTTACATTCAGTGATTGTTTGTTTTTTGTTTGGTGAGGTGTTGCCAAATTCCCGAAAATTCCCAACTTGTAAAATTTTTAAAATCTTCAGGATACCTTCAGTAAGTCATCTTGCACTATTTAGTGATGTTGCCAAATTAAAAATCTTTAGGATATTTAATTTAACAATTATGATTTTTTCCACCTGGAGAGTATTGCCCGTTTTTTATATTTTTCTCAAACAAGCCCGCTTTTTATTCTACCTTACTCATATTTTTATTACTTACTTGAGATGCTTCTGCAATAGCTGAAAGTGATATGGTTGGTCTACGAGGGTCTCTTATGTCCCAAATATGAATAAATGTGTCAGCAGAACAGGATGCTATTAAATTAGGATCGAATCTATGCCAATTTAAGTCAGTTATAACTCTGGTGTGAGCTCTCAAGGAATGCGTTTGCGTTAATTCTTCATTGCGCCATGTAAGAACTTCCAGCCTTTGGTTACTCTGTAAATAATTAAATAAAAAATTGTTTGATATAATATGGAAAGTAAAACTTACAGAAATAACACATAATTCTTTATTATGTAAAGTAGGGTTCCATTCTGCAGTTCCAACGTCATATTTACTTTGTCTAGGAAACTTTTTTAAAGAGTCTTCTTCTTCGAGGTTTGCAATAGCTACATATCTTCGGCTAGTAAATACAAAGGTTAAGTATTTATGTACTAAATATGGGAAAATTTGTCATCAGAAATGCTAAAAATTCTAACATTTTACTTAAATAGCTCTGGAAACAAAACAAGATTGAAAAACAGATTAGAATTTTGTGCTTCTCTGTTGACATAACACAGGGAAATAGTTACCCAGCTAAAACTACATAGGTTCCAGTGCAGTCTACAGCCATTGCATTGGCTTGTAGGTCTTTTCCTTCAAGGGCAATGTGGTACTCGTTATTCCAAGTGTTTGTCGACATTGTTATTGTTTATCTTTAAAAAAATTAGGATTTGCGACTGACTTGATTAACATAACCTACAATTTATTATTATTTTGCATTTATCATCCAGTTTAATCTGGTAAGATGATCGCTTTATTATGGCATATTATGCCTATAATGATTTATTATGTTTGCACTTTATGTTGAGTTTGAGGTGGTTTTGTAAATTTAATTCAAAAAACAACACCCTAGACCAAACCAGACGACACTAAAAACCACGGAAACCTCGGAAGTATTCGGCCGTGTCCGGAGGGCAGCGAGAAGCGGCTGGTGGGAATTTTGATTTTAAATATTGTTTTGGTTCGTTCTTTATTTTTAGATCGTATAATTATATAGCCTTCAAAATAAGTGATGATTTATTAGGTTTATTAAGTATAATAAACATAACAAATCATTACTTTTTTGGAGAATTTGTTAGATATAATAATTTACACAAGAAATATTAAGAATATGATTCTGATAAGGCTGATTTGCATTCTCGTTTTAAATTTATATCAAAATCACTTGCTTTCGGATGTTTAAACGTTTTTTGTTATTTGTATTTCTAGGGACTTCAATCTATTTTATCTTTGATGGTGGAAAAATAGAAATTGTTTTATTCTTTGCAGGAAAGTGGCATGCATTCGAATTTGGTGTACGGTTAAAGCAATCGAAATTTTGTTTTCACATAGATGTTTAAAATTAAAAAAACCCTTCTAATAAAACCAAGTATAGGTCAGAAAAATTTAACTACCCCATTGAAGATCAGCTTTAAAATTTTGAATACAGTACATAGATGAGCAGTAAAATAATTTTTGTTGTGCTAAATTTAAACTAAGTTTTAAGAAATCCGCGATTTTAAATACAACCCATAAGAAGAAAATAAAATAAACTTATGGATGTTTTTTTTAAACCAAACATATCATTTAGGTATATACAATATTGTTATATTGATATATAATTGTTAGCTTACACATATGTGTACATATAATATATATATATATTTTAATTTTAGAAATTACAGTTGATCTACTTAAATAAAACAAAACATAATATCAAAGTTCTTTATTTAAACTTAGTTTTAAAAAATCCGCAGTTGCGATTACAACCCATAAGAAGAAACTGCAAGAAACTTATGGGTGCTTTTTTCTTTAAACCAAACTCATCAGTCAGGTAAAATACAATAATTGCTAGCTTACACCTCTAGGTACATGATATGTACCTAAGTACATATTTATATATTTTAATTTTCCTAGTACTAACTAAAAATTATACTTTATAGGTACATCTACTTAAATAAAACCAAAACAACACTACAAAACTACAAAATAAATTTAAAATTAATAATAATACTAATTTAAAATTTAAAATTCTTCTTCATTACATTATGTTTCTTCATTAAATATGATAGATCATTTCTATTCAGCATATTTATTCTTTGAATTTTCTCAGATTTTAATTTTCTGGCATCGGACATAATTCTGTCTAAGGTTACACCACTACATAATTTTTTAACTATTTAAGTTTTTTCAAGTTTTGACAAGTGTTGACTTCTAATCTCCTCTTCGTGGCCTACATGTGATTTCCAGAATTTTACAGTAATCTCTCCTACAATTAAAATGTTGATATTATCTCAAATAGATTCATATTTTAGGGTTATATATAAGGCATAGTATTCATGTCTACTCATATACTTTTTAGGCAAAAGAATAATATTTTATCCTTAAATTTACCTGTTTTCCAAAGCTTTATATTTAAATGAGATGGGCGGGCATACTCCATACAATTTAATTGAACCACCAGCCTTCTCCGTTCTTTTGGAACAATTGCTGCCATGTCCTGAGGATAACAGAAATATTTTGTAAAATAAAGTAATAAAAGGTGAACTTAATATTTTACCTATTGAATTACTACAATTGCAAGTGTAGGATTTTTCTAAATAATCATTAGATCTTTTTGATCTGCCCGATGCATAAGTTGTCTCAATTTTCTGTTGATCAAACCACAGTTCATAACTTTCTCTTGTTGCAAAATTATATGTATGCATTTCTATTTTTATTTAATGGTTTACCTCCAAATGTTTTTCCAGTTTATTATAAGTACACAACAATGCCTAATAACACGGGAATCGCCAATAATTATTGTCAGACCTCTCTGGATTTTAAAACACATTTACTAATAAAAAAAAATAGTCTTATAATAAACAAAGCCTTCTAATAAACAGAGATATACTATCTGAATAAACAAAACGAATAAAAGCAATAACATCAATTTGAGGTTATGAAATACCGTTTTTTGGCGCAAATGATTCATTAATTTGAAATGAATGACGTCAGCCGCCGAAGCTCTCCGTAAACAGCCGAATACTTCCGAGGTTTCCGTGGTTTTTAGTGTCGTCTGACCAAACCAGGTCTAGGAACAACCACAAAACTAGTTTTGTGGGAACAACACTGTCAAAACATCGGCTGTGTGAAACTGACAGTTTTGAGTTGTGCGCAGAGTGCGCGCGTATTTTTTAACAAAGTCTGGGATTTTAAAATAAAAGTTCAAGAATTAAATAGTATATAGAACAAATAGTTGTTTTTTTTACTCGGGATTTGATTATGTTTGTATGTTTGTCTCTGGTTGTATGTTTATCATATTAATATCATGTTAATATAATTTGGTATTTTTAATATTGGTACACCTGTTCAACCCTTTAATAATTAAAATTATTTTAAATACCCACTTTGACAGTTGTCATTTAACTGTCAAAATTTTTATAAACATACATGTGAATTTCAATGCTGGGAATGTAAATTTTTCTCTTTTGGGCCGTAAAGTCACCTATATTTCATCAAAGGTAAAGTTATTGCATTTTTAACAACCTATATTTGACATTTTAAAGGTTCTACGAAAATTTATAACCGAGAAATTATTTTTTGTAATTTTCGGCAAAATGCGCCATTAATTAATTAATTAAGAGGTTAACTTCTTAGGTAACTCATTACCTGTACAAGTTATTATAGTAAAAATTTGTTTTTGTGGGTTACTTTTTATTACGCTGATTTGTGTATCTTCAATTGTTTTTGCATGAGCATTGCATTGGCTAAAAAAATTTCAAGAATTTCGACATATTCGATCAGGACCACATGTTTTATTTTTTTTATGTTTATGTAAAAATACACCTTGGCTTGGCGCGTTTTTTTAACACGGCAGGTGACACATGTCAAAAATGACAGATGTCAGAATTAAGCTATAACAGATGTCAAAAATAAGCTAAAACATGTAAAAAACGACAAATGTAAATAATTACAGCTCATTTTGTTTCGTTTTTTCCACGAAGACTAGAGTCTTTATGATGTTTTCTTTTCATATGGCTCATTTTTTACATCCGGTTTAGTTCATTTTGACATCTGTCACCTGTCATTTTTTTAAATATATCACGTCATTTTTGACATAAAAGTGACCAGATTCTGTCAAAAAAAGGGGGACATTTTGTATGAATTTACCTTAATTACAAAATTGACACAAAGATACAATGCAAATTGTAAATTTGACTTTACTTAATTATTGTTGATTGTGTCATTTTTGTAATTAAGGTTAATTTACACAAAATGACATTTTGAAAATGTCCCCCTATTTTTGACAGAATCTGGTTACTTTGATAATATGCTATAATAATGTACTATTTAAATATGTAAATTAACTGCTATGGTTTGTTTTAATATATTATTAATATTTTAAAGTAGTTTGTTAATTACTTATTTAAAATAGTTTGTTAATTACTCATTCAAAATTGTTTGTTAGTAACAGTAATTAAATTACTCATTCATCGCTATAAAATGTTAGTCTTTTACATGTTGCATAAATTTATGGAGTGTGATGTAACAAAATAAAAATAAAAAGTGTTTTAAAATTATTTATTATTAATTTTTATTTAATATTTAATGACCTTTTTGACTAAAATACTGCTTTTGTCCTTGGGTATATATAATTTATAATGTTATTAAAATTATAATACCAAATTATTAATATTTTTATGATTTTTTTAAGTCATAAATAATGACTAGTCTTATCAACATTTTGTAGATACTAAAAATAGAGTAAAGTACATAATTTATTTTTATTTTCTAGTTTTTCAGTCGCCTTATTTCTATAATATCTTAAAAAATTATAAACCTAAATCTTGAGAATAAAACTTCAAAAACACAGAATTCGTATAAAAAACATTGTTTAATCAACCCTGTTAAACTGAAAAGCCCATCAGCCAAACTACTTGATTCTGGGATAGTAGTACAACACTGAAGACCCTGGCAGCTGCCAATTGGAGGCGTGCAGCTCGATAAGCTGCAGCAAAGTGCGTCTCACAGCTGGCGCGCCTGCACTCGCCAAAAACCCATCTCTAACGCTTGCCAGAAGCTGCTCCAGCTGTTGCGGAAGTTCAGTTTCCAGATCGCGACCGATCGAGGTGAGAACGAAAAATAAACATTCCGTTTCCGGCAGGCATTTGATTGGCAGGCTCACGCAGGCTTGGCAGCACTTTGCTAGCACCGACAGCAGAACCAATTCCGGTTGTAGAGATTCAAAGTTGGCTTTGAGTTGGTGACGTTTCAGTTGGCTGCACATCTCCGTGAGAAACCACATGAAAGCCGTGAAGCGCGTACCCTCGCCTGCTTTGACGCCGCGCAGTATTTTGTCGCGTTCCTGGTACCATTGTTGACACATGTTCAACAAGGATTCGAGGAAGGTTTGATTCTTCTCGCTCTCTATGATGCAGATGCACATTTTGGCGACCGGTTCGCAGAAACGGATGCCTTCCACGACTTTCTCCATGGTCGTTTTCACCATGTCCATTAGGATGCGGGATTGTAGTTGGTTGGGGTCTTCCACGGCTTGCTTGATGTTCTCTTGGTCGCCCTTGGCGAAGATGGAGTAATCCATGTCCTCTTTCGCGATTGTTTTGAGCTTGTTCGTTAGGTTTTGCGAGTCGGCAGCACTTAAACTCTTCGAGCGTTTCAAAGCTTGCGCGGAGTTTGTGGTTTGGTGGTGATTGTTCCAGTTGTTGTGGTGGATGGGTTGGTTGTGTCCGGTGAAAACCGGATGGCCCAGTAGTTCCGGCGGGTATTGGAAGCCCGGTCGCGGTAAGTGGCCCAAAATTTGGCTGGACGAGGCGGAATGCATCAGCTGGATCGGCAGGATGGGTATCAGTCCTGGATGGTGCCGCAGGATGTTTCCGCTCGACTTCGAGTGCTGCAGAGGTTGCATGTGCTCGTACATCGCTAAATTTACGTTTCCGCTGGACTTGGAATTCTGTAGCTCGTGATTCATAGTGAATTCCTTCGCGTGCACGTTGAGTCTTCCTTGCATGTTGGGCAAGTCCGTGCGCACGTTTGGAGGTCGGTAGATTTCCATGGTGGGTTTGCCTTTTATGGCGGCCATGGTCTGCGATCGGCGTTTTTGGGGGTCGCGGTTCGGCCGTACGAAGCTGCGCTCTCTCATGATGACCGCAGCTGCGTTGTTGAAGTCCGTTTTTTGGCTGCGTTTCAGCTGAGTCCCTTGAGACATGGCACCACCCGACACTTTATCAACAAACTAAACTAAAATGTTAAATAATTATTGTTTGAGTAATGACTACCACGCAGTGTCCAAGTTTGGTGAGACAAGGCTGTCGTCGATCGCACCTTCCGAAATTGTTACATATTTCCCGCACCGCATACAAAACACAAAACGCGTTAGGAAATATAGATAAACGAAAACTTTCGTGTTACATCAAAATTTACACTCGACTGTTTTGGCCAAACAACTGATGTAGACGCAGCCTCGCTAGCTGACGTATATTTAGAATGTATATTTATAACGATGTGTGTATGAACGCTGACGATATAAATAGTTGTAATACACAATAAATTTTGTTATATAAGTTGAGGCGAAGCAAGCGAATTGTTGACTGGCGATGGCAATTTTTTTGTGCACCTAAAACAGCGATGATTGAATTGGCAAAACTAATGTACGCGTGGGCCGCGCTTCCTTAATGCTAATTTTGAAAGTAAACTTATAATTGATATAGGCGCGGTGCAGTTGTTGCATATCCTCGCAAGTGTCATATAGTTTGTTTTTAATTTTACAAATTGCAATTTGTAATGCCTCCTAGACGTGACATGTTAAACTAATTTAAACTGTGATGGACTCCTTATTAACAATTTGTCATTAACAACGTTCCTACACCAAAATTTTAAAATGGTAGCATAAGCGCGATCTCGTGGTCGGGATTATAATTTGTTTCATTTATGTTTAGTTTCCTTTTTAAAAAAATATATGAGATTTTTTTAAAATCTTATATTCCTTTAGGTATATAGATTTGGGGTGTGCAAATATTCGAATTTACTAATTATTAGAAGACGAATCGGATATAATTATATAAATATAATAGATATAATATTTTTGACGTCTGTCATTTTTAACATTTTGTATCATTTTACGTCTGTCAATTTTCTTCATCCTTAATTTTTGACACCTTGTAATTGCAGGGGCGGCTTGTTTTTTAAAACTTTAAAATATATAGGTATCTGGAACTTTAAAATATATCTATCTATTTTGCGTTTACAATGATTTTATTATAACACCGCTTTCGGTGCTGTAATGAGATACTTTATCCCACCCAAAATTTTGATTTTATAGGTTGGCTATACATTAAACAGCATAATATTTTGCATTTTGGTTATAATTTTTTTATGATTTTTCTAGTAAGTACTTACGAGACTTTTCTGGCAATAAATTTTGTTTAACACTTAAGAAAATCCTTTTTTTCTTCTTTAACATTAACAGCCGCTTATTGTAAATAAGTAAATTAAGGACGGTATGGCGAATCGATTTTGACATTAACTGTCAAACCAATGACTGTGATACCAACTATCTAAAGTAAAATTCGAGCAAATTAAATTTAAGGTATAAAATTATTTTTTTTATAGAAATTTTGCAAAATACATAAAATAGCACAAAGGACTCATGTCATAAGACCTTTTGTCGCACTCGTCCATTACAAAACTCGCTCCCTCGTCGCTCGTTTTATAAATGGTCCGTGTGCGATAAAATTACGTATTATGACATTAGTTCTTTAATACTATTATATGGATGTTTCAATAGGTATAGGTTTCGTACCAAAATATTTGAAAAGTTTGTGAATATTTCTATATATATTGTCAAATATTAATATATCAATATCAATAATATATCAATTGATGAAATTGATGAAATTTTGGCGTTTCAATTATTGAGAGAATAATGTCATGAACATGATTTATTAAAAAAAACAGAAATATTTAACTAAAGAAAACTTACCGGTATTTCGAAAACTCAAAACGACTTGTTACTATAGCTATAATTCTAGATGTGTAGCGTGTATGCACCTCCGTTGACCACAATAATAAAATAATAAATTTTAATAAACGAGATAAAAACTATAAAAGATCAGACAACGATTTTAAATAATTTAATCTGAATCAAAACAAAAACACCCGCTTTACACATACTGCACCACACCACCACATCTTCATCTTCTTTTTCCTATAGCCTAGTTGCTTTTACAACAAAGATCAAATTAAACAAATTGTGATTGGCAAGTAAAAAAAATGCAGTGTGCTTAAACCACGCCCACAGCACGTTTTCGTACTCTTTGAATACACCCACTTTCACATTTGAATACCATTAATTGAGGTTACCTATGTATTTGTCAGTTTAACGCTAATTTTTGTCTTGGTTTCTGAAAATAATGCAATTAATGTACTTTTTGTGTATTAAAGTCTAAATTTAGAACTCAAAAATACATATATTATAATATTCATAAATTAAGACAAAATAAGCGTTAAGGCCGATTCTGACATAGCGACGCGACGCTACGCGACGCGATGCTTCAAAATCGCGCCCCATTGTCGCTCCAGGAAGCGACAAAATTTTGTCGAGTCGCGTTGCTGGCGCGTCGCGTCGCTATGTGGGAATTGTCTCATTAAATGCATGAAAATCTTTCATCAGCTACATTTTAAAGTGTCACGTCGCGTAGCGTAGCGTAGCGTCGCTATGAGAGAATCGGCCTTTAAACTTAGATATATAACTTCAATTATTCGTATAAATGACGAGGTGGGACCCAACAATGTCAAGTATAGTACATTTTTTGATATTTGTTATATTTATATTTTTGACATTTGTAATTTTGGTACCTTAGAATGAGAGGGTTTTAAGTGCAGTTTCCATGTTAAGCAAAAATGGCTTATCTGCAATATTTAATATTGTAGATAAGTCATTTTTGCTTAACAGTTTAGCTGCACTTAGAACCTTGTTCTTCTTCTTTGGTTTATTGGCCTTTTCCTCTAGGGATAATTGGCCTAGAACCTTGTTATTCTAAGGTACCGATTTATGACATCCGTCACCCGTCATTTTTGACATATTTGACCACAACCAACTGTCATTTTTGACACCTGCTATAGCATAAGACATTTTCTCATATTTTATATCTGTCATTTTTACATTTGTTTTCTGTCATTCTTGACATCTGGTATCTTGTCATTCTTATAACTTAACCTTTTATTTATCATCTTTAACAGACTGTCTCATCTATCATTTTTGACATTTAATCTTGTCATATTTGACACATGTCATCTGTCATATTTGACGTATTTTATTTGACATTTTTGAGATGTTATCTTGTCATTTTTGACATTGGTTTTCTGATATTCTTGACACCTTTTATTTGTTATCTTTTGACACCTCGTGACCTTGGAATGACAAGGTTCTAAGTGTAGCTGCCCCGTTAAGCAAAAATGCCTTACCTGCAATAATTAATATTCTAGATAAGTCATTTTTGCTTAACGGCGCAACTGCACTTAGAACCTTGTCATTCCAAGGTCACGACCTGTTATCTACCACGTTTGACACATGTCATCTGTAACTTTTGACTTTTGTTTTCTGTCATTTTTTATGTCTGTCATCTGTCAATATTGACATCTGTCTCCCGTCATTTCAGACATATGTTATTTTGTAATTTTTTCAAAAAGACTACAAAAAGGGACCACAATCCAAAAGCGTGCGCAGATTTTGTAATAAAAAATTCGGAAAATTTTGAGTGAATTTACATAAATTACAAAAATGACACATGTAACACTATAGTGTCTCGACATTTTGTGTGAATTTACGTTTGTTACAAAAATGACACAATACAATTGTAAATTTGACGTTACTACAAATTTACAATTGTATTGTCATTTTTGTAACAAACGTAAATTCACACAAAATGTCCAGACAGAAGTTGGCAGCCCTAGCTCAACACCCAGAAGTCCCAATTTAACATTTGAATACAAATAATTGGTTAGAAAAAATACAGATATTGTAAAGGTGTAGGTATTATTCTCAGAAAATACGACGAAATTAGCGTTAAATTGAAAGATAAATTCGCAGATAGATAACCTCAATTATTTGTATTCAAATTTTAAGGTGAGACTTTTCGGTGTGCCCCAAACACTCGCTCGCAAGCTTCGCTCGTACTTAATTAAACTCAGAACTAAAATGGCGTTTATCAAACTTGATACATAATATACTATTAAAAAACCATGTTAAACTTCAATATTAATTACTAAACTTCTAAAAGCTTTGCAATACCTACAAACTATCAGTAAAAATATATTTGCGCCCCTGGCATTTAAACCAGCCCCTTTAGAGCCTAAAGTTTAGGCCCTAAACACATGTGATTATCTCATCTCCTACCTAAACAAAAAATTCTTAAAGCAAAAAGTGTTCAAGTTCGTTAGTACACATTTAAGGGGCCTTCATAATTGGCAAAACGATCCCAATCATTATGCTATTCTATTAAATTTATTGCCCAACGTCCCACAATACTGTCTCGTATGTTAATAAATAAAAAGTCAGTAAAAATGCAACGAAATCCTAATTTATTTCATTCATGACCTCAAGACTATTCCTTTTAATTAAAATAATAATTGACAAGTATACTTAAATTAATTTTTTATTTGCATGGATAAATTGATATTGAATCTTGCAAATTAAATTGGATTTTATTCTTTAGAATTTTAAGAACAACTTTTATTAATTATTTATTTGCAATAGTTCTCATTAAAACACTTGAAGTTATTAGCCAAAAAAACTTATTAGTAGTGGAACAAAAAACAAGAAGTCAATTAAAAGCTCAGGATTAGATCCTGAAGAGCCCGACACGACAAAGGAAACAACAATCGACTCTGCGTTCCTCAAACTTCAGTCAGTTCAGTCGGTTCTTGGACGCGCTAATGTAAAAATCGGCCTGAAAAAGCTCACTCCTCGTTTGTTTGTGCGCGCTATTCAAATATTCAATTTTAATTCGATGGAAGCGTATCGGCACTTCATTTCAAGTTATGAAAGAAGTGCGATGTGATTTACCGGAATGATGGATAAATATCCGTGGATGATTGGGTGTTTAATTTTTGTGTTTTTGTTCATTCAAAGCGGGATTTGTATCAAGTGGTTGTAAGTACAATATACAAACAATATTAAAAAATAAATGAATATTTTTTTTTGCTTTTTTAAATTTTAATACGTTTGTAAGGACCCTTTAAAATAATTAAAACAATGGTAAAAATGTACCTTTGCTACCCTGATTAATACAGAAGATGTCCAAAGTTATCTTGCCATTGCTAACTTCGTTAACATTGGAGTTACAAAGTCAGTTAAATTAAACAATATTAAAAAATAAGTAAATAATTTTTTTTAATGCTTAAATTAAATTAAATAATATTAAAAATTAATGAATAATTTAATGAATGCTTAAGTTTACATTTAAATATTTCAAATATTGTTTTAAACATACATAATTTTTTAATCCTCTATCAAAAATGAATTTTTTTTCAGGACCCATTAAAATGATTAAAACAATGGTAAAAATGTACCTTTGCTACCCTGACTATATACAGGGTGTTCAAAGTTATCTGCTCACCATTGCTAACTTCGTTATCATTGGAGCTACAAAGTCGGTTAAATTAGCAATTCGTGATATTTTTTTTCTTAAACTGGTGGAAACGGAAAAACAATTGAAATATTCACAAAGATACAATTTTTTTTAAGAAAACACCCTGTATATTTTTACATATTTTGAAAGACAATTTAATTTGGAACAAAAAATTATTAATGCATAACTACCCTTAACTTAAAATAAACAATTAATACAGGGTGACCCAGATCTAACCTTTCTGATTATTGTTAAAATAAAGTTATAATTTGGTTATTTTGGTATTTGGTATTAATTAATAAATAAGTACAAATTTACTACCAAGTCAACTTTATTAGTAGTATTTTTTACGGTTAACCAAAACGGTTTTATAACGGTATAGATGAGAAAAATTACCAAAATTGGGCAATATTAACCTTTTTGATCTACTAAGAGAATAACGCAATAAAAACAATATAAATACCACAAATTTAAGTAAAAATAACGCTATAATTACTAAGGGCCGTGTGTATTTAATTTTTAAAATAAAAATATTGTTTCAGGGCATATTTTTAATTATTTGTCAAATAAATGGCCTGCGTTATGTTAGCCCGGTACCGTTTGGCCATGTTCTAACCAAAGTCGGCCAGAATACGGCATGCCGCTGCAAAACGTTCGGCTTGCCCTAGCCGGCCCGCTTACGGCCGGAATACGGCCTGCCGCTGCATAAGCAATACATCTCACGGCTGCTTACGCAAGCGAGCTAACTATAAATAGCGATGGGTGGATATACCTATCCATGACGTCTGAAGGCTTTTTTTGAAAAATTATTGCTTTGGTAAAAATTCAACAAAACTTAAAACCTACAAAATTTTATAAAATCTTTTAAAAATCATTTAGTTTTAATCATTTTTTAATAACGAAAACTTTCCTTATTATATTTTAGAAAAATATTCATGAACAAATATTATATAAATGTTTAGATAAGTAATGGATGCCATCTTAAAAAAACTTATTATAGCCACCCTTAAAGTTTTATTTTTTACTTTAAGCTTAATTTTCCTTCTTTAGTCAATATTACCACCAATAACCCTAAAAAAATACCAGGCGAATAGGAATTATTTACGGTTATAAAGTGGTCTTAATATCGTAAAATTATGACTTATGAGTAACATTATCCATAAAGTAAAAATTCTGACGTTAAAATTACCGTTCAATTTCAATACACTTATAAGTAATTTTCTTTCGTAAAAATTAGGTCCCTCAATACTTTAAAGTGTTGAAACTTAGGGGTTATTAAAATAGGTAAATATAACATAAATAAAACTAAAAAAAGTTTTACTTCAAAGTAAATTTATAAGGTTAATTTAATTTAACAAATTAAGTAATAAATTATTACTAATAATGCCTCAGAGCTCTACGCTTTTACTTAAAATGCTGCTTGGGATAGTTTATGACAAATTAAAAAAGTGTGATTTTTGATATTTTTGAACTATGTACCACCTTATTGGAGTTTGATATTTCATTTAAAATCCTTGTTTTTGATATTTTTCTTAATTTAAGATTGAACATTTTTTGAACAAAAACTGATCCTTTTAAACAAACGAACAATAAAATTAGTTTGGTCTCAGAAGATTGCCACTGTCTTATTAGCTAATTATGTTCTAATCAAGCGACAAAATCTGGAAACTAAATTAATAATTACGTTTTAAGAATGAGTGATGAGCGCAAATCTTTGTCTACGATAGTTACAATTGACATGCCCGCCTTCCGCACGTCTACTGAATTTCCTTCCTTTAGCTTTGCCATCTAATTTAATTAGTGCCAAATTGTTATTGTGTGCATTTGGAATAATAGAAAATAGAATGGAGTTTTTTGTTTAGAGTAAACAAATTCTAGTTTTTTTATTAGCTGAAAACAATACTGTTTCTTCATAAAATTCATACTATTACAAATATTATTTTGGGCGCATTTTTTTACTCCCATTAAACGTAAATGTTTCCATGACACTAAGTTATCTTTTAAATATACATTGGCTATGGATTTATGGCGCTTTCGTCACAGGATAGTTTCTCAACGCCAATATTTTAAAAGTTTATATGAACATTGTACTTTTAATTTCGCCGACAGTAAACTATATTTAACTTAATTTCGTCTGCCGTGGAGTGCCAATAAAACATTTTCTTTACTTTCACTGTAAAAAACTGCTTCTAAATCGGATTTTAACAATTGTTAGTTCATTTCCGAGGGATAAATTTCGATTTACACAAAAAAATTTGACATTTGTCGCCGGTAATACAGATTCCCATTCTTACGGTTACTCTATTTTTGTATACAGTGTCTACTTAAGTTGGCAACATATGGGAAACTTTCTTATTATTAATTTTACGAAGAAAAGTTATTCTTTATAAAAAGTTTTGCATGTTCTAAAATTCTCCTTAGTCGTATATGAGGTTTGACAAAAAATATGAATTTGGTACCTTTATTTCGAAATAAAAAACTATGTTTTAATATGCAATAAGATCCTTCTTAAATTTTTTTTTTACAAATTTCTCTCGATACCTAACATTTATCTTTTTATTTATTACAAACATGATAACCTTTCCCCAGTAGCACAACATATTGGTCCTATATGTCAGCCCTTATTGGCATAAAATCATAATTTAATATATCATTGTCAATGTTTATCCAGGGTTGGTCCTATATTGTCATATTTTCTTACGCCAATATATCATTAACTATAGTCAACGATGCTTTCGGATTTCTAAAAGTGACGACACGTTTGTTTCCGGGATATGTCTATACTACAGTACAAAAAAAAAATAGCCACCTATAGGTGGCTATCTTTTTTTTCTTTCAATTTCTCCCTCAACTTTCCTAGAATATAATGTCAAACCACTTCGGGCCAATGTTGGGTTTCAATATTGGACCATGCTTAAAAAAATCTGACGAAAGATATTTTGGCCCAATAATATTACAAATGTTGGGCCAATATCTTTGTGCTAGTAGTACATAATACTTCCATATTCTAAATGCGCTTTAAAAAAATAAGAAATAAAGAAAATTAAAATTAAAATAAAATATTTTTTGTGTATTTTTTTCTTCATTTCGTTTGAAATAAAATAATTTTAAACATAAAATAATATTATAATTTATTATTGGTTTGTTTAAATTACCTTATTTTTGTAATAAAACAAATTAATAAAATTATTGTCAGTTTTAGGTGGCTTTTACTTATTGGTAATATAATCAATATAAATTAACCTGCAAGTTTATTTAAACCATTTGGTTATTTTATTTTATTTAATTTAACTACTTTATTTACCTATCGGTAACTCTTTGGTTTTGGTATGTCAACTAAAATCCTGTTGTATAAATCCATTATAGCGCCACACTAAACTAAACCAAAATATGTCTAAAAAATAATTATTTTTAACTATAGTCTAAACTAAACCAAAATATGTCTAAAAAATAATTATTTTTAACTATAGTCTCAAAAGTTAAAATTAGAAGTTATGTAACTTCTAAAAAACCTACTTGAACTTTTTATTAGTTAAATTATACTAAAAAATTACCTTTGAATTTACCTTAAGGTTATAACAAAATGTTAATGGTTGAATACAACTAAATGGTTAAAACACAAGTTTAATTTACTTAAAATGCTGACCAGTTGTATTTTTAGTTTTTTCAAATTATTTATTAAAAAAACAATATTTTGACAACGACCTGAATTTATGCATTTTTCTTTAATTTTTAAATTTTTTACAAAAACTCTAATTTCTGTATGTATGGCAAATATTTCTCCATCCTGCGTTTTCGAAGTAACTTCTCATATTTTTGCTACTTGGATTTTAGCACAATTTTGATAATGTTAATTATTAATTAATAATACTAATAATAATAATAAAAATATGAATTTTACGATGATAAATGTCTGTAATCAACGCAAAAGTTAAAAACCATAGCAAAACCCATTCACCAACTAACAATTAGTGTTTATTTTTTCCTAAAAGCTGTGTTTTAAAATTGCCATGCTTAAGTGGTGTTTACAGGTCGTAAAAGCTTAATTATTTCGTAGTTTGTGGTGTCGGCGGTGTTCGGATGTTTAACAAAAGTCATTAAGAACAAGTCAATAATCACAGTCGGCATCGCTACAATGATAACAGGTGCCAAGCACCACCCAGAGCACACCTAGAAAATGTTCTCTTTCCGGTCCTCGGCTCTCTCGATCGGTTCTGTCAAATTGCCCACTTTGATCCCACAAACCGTAACAAATTTTTAACCCCTAATCTGTAATTATTACCAGTTAGCAGTCGTTGGAATTTTAACAGTATTTAAAGTAAGAGTATTTTTGTGCTTTGATCAAACTTTAAGTTCAACACAAGATTCACTTTTTAGCCTAATAACATAAAACATATTATTAAAATTTGATTTTTTTTTATTTTTAACAGTTTTTGAGATATTTTTTTTTTTCAAAAATTTTGACAGATAGATAGACTTACTAATATGTCTGTATTACCACTAATTGTAATATTAAAAAGTT